ATCTCATTGTTTTTGACCCCATTGACTTTCATAATATTTTTTATGTGTGTTCTGTGGAAGATATGAAGTCATTCAGGTTTGGAATGAGACAAAGTTGAGTAAATGATGATAAAATGTTTTTAGTTCAACTGTGCCACTTCAATATAGGCAGATGTAAGCAGTATGGCTGTGCTGCTCTGAACAGACACAGATTATCTGATGTAAGAAAGAAAGTTTCTTTAAAGTGGATGCTGATGATGGTGCGGTGGTTTCTCCCGCGGTGCTGCTGTCTGCACTCATTAGCTTCAGGTTTGATCTCTCTGGGTCGCTGGGAAGGAGAGATTTCTGATGTTCTCTGAGTTTGGCTGTAGTTTAACGGCGGGGTGGGCCTCGTCTACTGTGGCCTGCCAATCTAATGGGCGTCTGAGGGCCACGGGTCCGAGGGGAACGGGCCCCCTGTGGGTCCACCAGACCCGCAGACCGCGGGCCATTTAGCATGGACCGACCTGAGGAGATGGATGCTCGCGGGGGTCCTCATTCATCTGTTTCAGGCCTCCTGCTCTTTTTAGCCTCCCTGCTTCCCTCTGCACTCCTTCTTTCACACGACCAACATCCATCTCACTGCTGTGTTTCTCTGTCTCGCTCTTTCTCCCCAGAAAGCCTTATTGCTCAGAGGTTGCTCTCTCATTTCTCAAGAGACTGTGTTCTTGAAGTACACTTGTTAAGAAGTTCATTAGGAGAATTAAAGCAGACTCAAATGAGTCACTAGATGTCATCCGGTAAGAGTTTAGAGATATAAAACTCAGCTCAGATCATTTGATGAGAAATTAACGAGTTCATGTTGAGCAAATGACTAGATTGAGATCTCTTCTGAGACTCTATAAGTTTAATTGAGTCTTTTTCTGAGGCATTTTAATTGAGTCTTTTTCTGAGGCATTGGAATGATCTTAGGAGCAGGAGATTTAGTTTGTGTTTAGTCTCCATTTAATCTCATTGCTCTCCCCAAGACACATTTGAGATCTCAAGGAGATTTCATTTATATTTATTTTATTTCTTTTTTTAGATATATATTTAGAAAGATATTTACACAATTTGATTTTGAAATTCATATTGCAAATATTTATTTTATTTTATTATATTTTATTTATTTATTTATGTATTTATTTATTGAGATAGATATTAAGACAATTTGATTTTGAAATTCATATGGCAAATATTTATTTATTTTATTTTATTCTATTTTTTTTTTTTTTTAGATAGATAGATAGATATTTAGAAATCAAATTGTGTAAATATCTTTTGAAATTCATATTGCAAATGCCTTGGCAAATATCAGCTTAGCGCAAGAGATTGTTGAGATTGCTTCTGAAGCTCTAGGAGACACATCTGCGATTACTGGACGTGTTTTCTCAGACATTTAACTGAGCTGCAAGTAGGAGTGTGCGATAATGACAAAAAAATTATATCTCGATATTTTCTGGAATTTTGTCGATAACAATAATTATTTCGCTGAGTGTGTTATTGTGCTGGTACTTTGACAGGTTTAGGACTGCCGTGGACAGCTGACTCCCAAATCTTTTGATATTCTTCATATTCTGTGTAGTGATTAGTGCAGGAGTAACAGAAATGAACTTTTCCAATAAGTTTGAATTGATTTTTTACATTTTATGGTAATTTTTACCTTTATAAGGCCAATTTTTTTCAAACGTAATTAAATGTATGCATCATCATCAAATTCTTAAATTTAATCAATAAATTCAAATAGTAAGACACTGTAGGGCTGTTACCAATCAAATGAAATCAGTATCAACAAAATGTGTGTTTGCAATGCAGAGGTGGCACAGAAGCTGCATCTGAAGTGGTGTTTAGATGCATTTGCGCAGACTGTTCAATGCGGGACATGAATGCAGTTACAAATGCATAAATAATGTTTTGATGTTTTAAAAACAAAACATTCAATGGTGATATTTTGGGGGGAAAAAAGGAAAATATACTTTAAATATAAAATCGCCAGTAGGTGGCGGCAAATCACTGCATGAGTGAGTCATTCACTCAACCGATTCATTCAAACGGCTGATTGATTCAGTAACGAAACATTGTCGAGTTGCTCAGAGACACAAAACAGTTCTGTTTTAAACTATTTTCATTGACGAAATAGAGAAAAAATGAACTTGTGTCTAAAATGTCGATTAATATTAACTTCTTGTTTATTGGACTGTTTTATAAAATCAATATCACATTTGCAATCATACTGATATTTGGGAAAAAAAACTGTACTCTTCATGTTATATTAACTATATCAGATGACAAATATAAAAGACATATAAAAGTCAATATCTTGAATTTTGGGGGAACTCGAAATGTATTTTAAAAGACTAAATGATGCAGTGAAAGCGTGAACTCTAAATGTGCTCGTGCAGTAGTCTAACCTGAGCTGCAAGACACTTCATCTCTGTTCAATCTCTTTCTAATCTCATTGGGAAACATTTGAGACATTAAAGAGATCTCATTTGTATAAGGATTTTTTTTTTTTTTGCCTGTATGTAATTTGGATTTTTATTTTTGGTTGCAAACTTTGGTATCTCTGCACATATGAGCCTAGAGTGAGACGTTGTTGAGATCTCTTCTGAAAGTGATTACAGGGGTCTTTTACTCATGAGAAGCATTTGAGAAGCATGACGTAGGCCTATTAACTTCTGTTTAATCTCTTTTTGATCCCATTGTGCTCAAGGAGAAAGATTTGAGACATTAAAGAGATCTAATTTTTTCCTCATGAGAAGCATGACACTTCATTTCTGTTTTATCTCTTTTTAATCTCATTGCATTTTAGGAGAAGCACTTCTCTTGCACACTTTCTTCTCTTTTGTCCGTATTTTTGTTTGTTGCACTTTTTCAATTACGTTAATGTCTTCTCGGTTTCTCGCAATCATCATTTGGTGGCCACGCAAGCATGCGCCTGCTGTTATTAATCCTTCACGGGCGTCTTCAGGTGTGTGTCATTTATCTTTGTTCATATTTCCTCTGGATGCCAGCTGGGTACCTGTGCCAGCCGACTCTGAAACTGGGCATGAGACTCGGCATGCGGATCGCACCGGGCCGGGCTTTTTTCCTCCGCCTGTAGTTGCCGGGTAACGGCGTGCTTGGGAGAAACCGTCTGTCCTGCGGAAAATGAGACACTTTTGTTTTAGCATCTCCCCCCCTGCAAAAAAAAAAAACCTCCTTAACTGTGAGAGGGGGCGACTTATTTAAGACAAGGACTCTTTTGTTTTAGCCTGTGAAAGGCGGCAGACCCCGCTCTCCTCCGCGGGGAAGCCTGCGACCAGGGGCCGCCACGTAATTGGCCTATTTAGCTTGTTTTGCATGTGAATGCGGCTCTAGTCAAGCATCGCTAAGTCTGTTGTGAGAGCTGCCGTCATTTGAATTCAGCTCAGCGCAAACATTCTCCCTACTTTATCACATCCTCTAATGAGCCCGGCCTGGGACGTTGCCCCCCGAGTGTCCCTAAAAAGTTCGGGAGGAAGTTTACGTTACGTCTCGCACCCGGGGCTCACGCTCTTTCCCGGATCAGACTTCCGAACGCAGGGCAAATGTCCACCCGCTCGCCTCTCTCCTTTCAGCCACCTTTCTTTTCTTCCGTAGAACTGGAATGAGCGAACGAGCTCTCGTTAGCTGGGCTTGATTAGCAGAACTGTGTTAACTGAGAACAGGGTAATGATGAGAAGAGTTTGTGCGGGGTAAGTGTGCTCGCTTTGGAGCTTCGCTGGGTCACACACACACTGATGTCTGAACTTCCTAAATTTACGTATTTGAAAAATTGTGGCTTTAATTATGAAGGTCAAACCGTCTTTTAATTGTCACAACTTTTAGAATCGAAATTAAAGGACTTGTTTGATTTTGAAATAAATATGGTGCACTTTAATAGAACATTGCATCAGTTTTTTTTTTTTTTAGCAAAAATTCCGACATTCCAAGTATGTGTTTGTATTTTTCTGTCATTATTCATGATGAAATTATGAAGGTTAAATTGTCTTTCAAATGTCATAACTTTTTGAGTTTTTAAAAAAAATATTATGTGCTTTTATACAACATTGCATCACTTTTTAGCACAAAATTGACATTTCAAGCATCCGTTTGTTTATTTCTGTCTTTTTTGGATCAAATTATGACGGTCAAATGTCTTTTAAATGTCAGAACTTTTATAATCCTAATCAAAGGCATTTTGACTTTTTTTAAATATTGTGTGCTTTAATATATTGCATCACTTTTTTTTCAAAAGTTATGACATTCCAAGCATGTGTTTGTATATTTCTGTCATTTTTGATGTAATTATGAAGGTCAGTATGTCTTTTAAACTTTTATGATCCTAATTAAGGGGCTTTATTTGAATCTTTTTCAAATATTGTGTGCTTTAATACAACATTGCATTACTTAATTTATTTTAGCAAAAAATAAATACATTTTTATTTAATTTATTAAAATGTATTTATTTATTTATATTGTGTGCTTTGATACAACATTGTATTACTTTTTTAGCAATATATATATATATATATATGACATGTCAAGCATCTGTTTGTATATTTCTGCCATTTTTTATGAAATTGTGGCTTTAATTATAAAGCTAAATGTCAACTTTTATCATCTTAAAGCCCTATATATTTATTTATTTATTATATATTTTGTGCTTTAATACAGCATTTTCATTACTTTTTAGCATAACATTGACATTTCAAGCATCTGTAAATTTCTGCCAGTGTTTTTTTTAGTTGTGCAGAATTTAATCTGGCTGCAGAATTTCAATGTATTCTAAAACATTTATTGATTTAATATCTGTGTAATTCTATATGTTGTGTTTCTTTGTCAAACACTGCAGATGATGTCTTGAAAACGTTGGTTTTCTCTGACGTCTTTCTCTGCTTGTGTTTAACTTCAGGAATGTGTGGCGTCTTTCTTTGTTAATTGAATCGTTTTAACCTAATCGAATGTCTCTAATGTGTCTGTCTGCTGGTGTTTGTGTCCAGTCGAGTCTCATGGGAGGCGAGGTGGGGATGGTCAGTCCGGAGACGGTGTCTCCCACCAAACTGGGCTCCCAGTATTACCAGCATTACGCAGGAAACCCGCGGCGACGAGCCCTTCACAGTGACTCCATGGGTGAGCCTTCATCACCACCATCATCATCATCAACTGCTTAATTCATTATAAAAACCTGCTTTATTCTTAAAAACTTTGTTTCACAATGTCAGGATCTTAAAGAACACGTTTTCATTTCACGTTTTAATCTCTTCTGTCAAAAAGAGCTTGTGGTGATTATTGATTTTTTTTTCTCTTTTTTTGCATTCAAAGACCTTTATTTGTGTTTCTAACAATACATCAACCCTCGGGCCTTGAAGTGCCAACCTTCAATAGGTGTCAACCTTCAGGGCAAATCACACACGCTTTTATTTCTGTCAGAAACGCACACGACTGTCTGTCACATACTGAACAGTTTCATTGTTTTGTTGCATTTAAAGGCAACTTTTATCATCAATCATGTTAAATATCTCGCCCGTCTTTGTTTTTTCTAGAAGTCCAGACGAAAAAGGTTCGGAAAGTTCCTCCCGGATTGCCCTCATCAGTAAGTCAGTGTTTAATACATGCATGCAATGAACATTTTTCACCTGAGCTTGATGTTGAAGCATTGAAACGCTTCTGTCAGTTGCATGTTAAAGTCAGACTTTAGCTCTCCAGTCAAAAGGCAGCGAGGCCGTGCTCGCGTACAATAGCGTGTGAGTGTGTATTGTGTGTCGCGTGAGGCCCGGTTGTGGCGGACGGGCCGTTTAATGCACCGCTAACGACACTGGAATGTCCCCGCGGGATGTCCTGACGGTATTGTGCTGTAGTTCTTTAAGAGGCAAGACAGAAAGAGCCGCAGCATAATGGAGTCCTGATGGGACGCTTTTTAAACACGGCCAGAGGCTCGTCTCTGTGAAGGTGATCGCAGGTCTGACGTGTGTGTGGAGTTATTCCAGCGCAGGTGTTTCTGACACGGGAAACACTTTCACTCTCATGTGACTCATTAATGCCACATACGGCACCGACACACGCCTGTGTTTGAGCTGCTTTGGATGTTCAGATACGAATACCATTAGACACGCTTACTCTGTCTGTGTG